GGTGTGCCGGAGGCATAAGAGTTCGGAACGACGAGCGACACGCGCATCGCGGGTCGTGATTGGTGCACGAGCATAGCTTATTCCTATTTCGAAGGATTATAGGCGTTGAAGCGTTTCGATTAAATTAATTTTCCTGAATCTTGCGTAGGATAGTAACGACATGATCATTATGACATATGGAAACGATTCATTAACTCCACGCGGAGTTATTCTGCCTAAAATCTTGTCACAACGCAGCGGCACGCGCCTCACAGGTGCTTCGATTGGCTCTCGCGGCACGCGCGTCACGTGGTCGGCATGACAGAATTGCACATTGGCTGTGTTCCAAAATTGTTTGTCAGCGCTGCGAGCACGTCGTCATAAGTGCATGCTACCAATAGTGTTCCAATTTCATAAGCATGCTTTTCATGCAAACGCAGCTTTCATTTTGGAACGATATTTTCAGTGCTGTCAGCATATAGCGACGTCAGCGAAAAGAAACAAGTAACCTAAAAATATGGAGAGAAGCATACAGAATAATAGTAATAGTAATGAGGAAGTTAAAGAAGTTAAGGAAACGGTATATACCATTGATGTTTCGAGGATAGTCAAAAACCAGTTTATTCATAGATGGAATCAGATTTATAGATTGTTAAACAAAATTTTATGCAAAGCTAAATGATTGTATTGAGAAATAATGTACATATTTTGTTAACGCCTATTGTATGTGAATAAAATAAATTTACTTTTTGATTTCCTCTTGTACATAGGTTATGTCAATTTTTGTATTTGAATTCGAAATAAGAATAAATAAGTGTGACTACAAAAAGCAGACTACAAAAAAATTATAAATCTACTCACTACTTCTTGCTTTCTTAGCATCTTCTACAGAAACACTGAGTTTATACTCAGTGTTACTCTCAGCATCGATTAAAATTAACTGCTCCATCTTTTCCGCCATCTTGTGCTGTAGCTGCCTCACCTCGACAGCCGCAGCAGCCGCAGTAGGAAATGACGACAACATTAATGACGTCTTTACCCTCTTGCAGCACTGCCACAGCGTGCTACGATGATTTTTGGAACGGTGTTGGCAGTACTGCCAGCGCTGACAAACAATTTTGGAACACAGCCATTGTAGAGCAGGTTTCTCAACACGGAATATTCGTACTTAAGGGGATGCTGGAGTGACCACAGACTTCTATATATTACACTAGACTGCTAACTCCCACTTTTTTCCTTATGTAAAATTGGAGCCTGCGCGAAGTGGATGCGCAGAATATAACTCTTATGTACAAGAAAGAGATGCCGATAAATCATGTGACCAGACTGTCTGTGATTGGTTCTTGGGTATATAGAAGATATATGTATGAAATAGATGGCGGCAATCTAACCTAAATATCTGTATTTTGTGGTATTTTGCGACAATATTATAATGACGAAACATTGTAAAATAGTTAATTGTCGAATTGGTCGACATAAATACAAAGGCAAGATTCATTTGTTCAGGTAAATTAAAAAAAAGCAACAGATGAAAAGAAATTATGTGCGTATATATATTTGACGTAAATACGAAAGTCACGACAGTGAAAGCAATTTGTTAATCATATTTAGATTAAATTTATGTTAAATATAGTGTACTAAATATGAATCAGTGGATAATCATTGATATCAGTGCCACTATTTACTGATTACCAGTGACATATTTGACACTGGATAATCAGTGAAGTTCAATTAAAACAGAAAGAAGATTTGAGCATTATATCCTAAAATATTGATATTTACATGTTACTTTCTTCTAATACTATATTCATTGAATTTATGCATTAAATTAAGATTAGTTAGATCACATAATAAAGGTTAGTTAGATTAGAAATCTCATATTTCATTCATTGATTACCAATGGCATACTTGGCACTAATATCAGTGATTATCCACTGATTCAGATTTAGATCACCAATTAAACGCATGGTATATTTACATTCATATTTTAGTTTTCTAAATGTAGAAAGTGTAAATGCAGTAAAATGGATTGAAGCAACTAGACAAAAAAATTTGATACCTGATCAACGCAGTACAATTTGTAGTAGGCATTTTAAATCAGAAGATTTTAGCAATACAACAGTAAGATTACGTTTAAAACCGGATGTAGTACCCACTCAAAATTTATTTAAAAATGTTACAGGTAAATACATACAAGGTATATTAAAAAAATTTTACATATATGTACTGTATAATTAATATACAGTATATATGCAATATATCATGATGTTATCAGCTTGGATTTATATCTTTTATAACTATTGAACTATTTGCGCTAAATTAAGTCTCGAATTTGAATGAAGAAGACCAAAAAGGTGGTCAAAATGTCTACATGATTTTGTATTTTATATTCAATGTTAAATTAATAATTGAACATTTTTGCACCAATACTTGCATTGGATTTTAATCTTGCGAATTTGATTTATTTTTAACATTTGTTGAATTTTATTTATTTGTTTTAAATATTATGATTATATTATAACTAAATGAATATATACATATAATAATTACACAGGCCCACAAAAAAAATGAACTTTAATGTCCATCGGCAAAACCATTGTATCCTTATGTATTTTTTTCCGCTGAATCCGAATCCGGCATCCGTTTAACCCCAGCACGTCAGGTTCAAGGGTAGTTGAAGGTCAAATCGAAGAAAAAATGCGAGAGTTGAAGAAGAAACTGTACTTCCATGTTTTTACGGTCACTGTTTCTGAATCCGGGGCCAGTTTGACTATATCGTCAGGATGAAAATCCTTTGGTCATATCGCGAAAAAATGTACATATAAGAGTGTTTTGATTTCGCGAGTCGAAAGTAACTTAATCAGGAAGTCAGGGTACCGTATATCAAGAGCCAACCCTACCAAAAATTTTAGTACAGTCAAGACCTGATGAAATAATGTCAGTCATCACAATTATATATCAATAACAATCACAATTATATTATATTTAGATAATAAGACCAACCATTTAATAGTAACACCACGTATAAAAGATGTTTGGTCCGCATTTTACTATTTAAATAGTAATCCAACCGTCAATTTTTTCCGTGTGGTTTAAAGGTTTTAAGCCAGAATATGAAGTAGGTACCCCGCTCAAACTTGGTTCCATTCAGCAGTTCGCCGAAGCTCTCAATAAGGAAGAAGACTGTTTTGAATACATACGCGGAGAAAAAGGATTGACGAAATTTTAGTAAAATTAGTTCGGTAATGTTGGTATATAACGGTACAAGAATAAAGTTTACCATTAGTTCGGTAAAATCATTTTCAGGAAACACTAAGTCGCATGCAAAGACAAAATATTGTCACGACGTTAAGGGATTGATAGACGAACTGAAGAAAGATCTATACCAAGCTGAAGAATCGAGATTATTTATAGATTCTTCG